GAGGAATCCCAACAGGTTATGGGCCCAGACTACGCCTAACATAGTTTGACGAGTGAAAAATTAGTTAGTTAGAAAAATTGCTTTGATTTGCACCACGTTGTGAAATTGTGTCCCTCATATATACACATATACATATAGCTGAGTGTGTGTGTGCAAAGTACAGTATCATGGAAAAAGCAAAACGCAACATTAAGGCTTTTGACGGGGAAAAGTATTCAGTGTGGAAATTTAGAATTAGAGCCCTATTCGCCGAGTTAGATGTGCTTAAAGTAATTGACGAGAATGTTCCGGATAATGCTGACGATTCCTGGAAAAAGGCAGAGCGTTGTGCTAAAAGCACTCTGATAGAATACCTCAGCGACTCTTTCTTAAACTTTGCGACGAGCGACAACACGGCGCGACAAATTCTCAGGAATTTAGACGCCATTTATGAGCGAAAAAGTCTGGCGTCGCAGTTAGCGGTTCGAAAAAGATTGCACTACTGTGTCATTTTAACATTTTCGATGAACTGATGTGTGAGTTGTTAGCGTCAGGGGCGAAAATCGACGAAATGGACAAAGTGTCGCACTTGCTATTGACCTTGCCATCGTCATATAATGGAGTAATAACTGCGATTGAGACCCTAGCTGAGGAAAATCTTACTTTAGCTTTCGTAAAGAACAGATTGCTCGACCACGAGATAAAAATTAAAAACGATAGCAGTGATACAAGCAGGAAAGTTATGAAGGCAGCGGTATACAATAACAATAATTATAAAAATAGACCATTTAAGAACAGTAACAGTGGAATTCGAAAGCAATTAAAGGGAAAAGGAAAGTTTAATATCAAGTGTCATCACTGTGGAAAGGAAGGGCATATTAAAAAAGATTGTTTTGCGTTTAAAAGAATTACAAATGATAAAAATAAAGAAAATAACAAACAAGCACAAATAGCATCAACTCAACCCGGCTTCGCGTTTATGTTAAGTCGTTTTGATAAAAATAAATCCAAAAGTGAAAATAAGAAGGTCAAATTTGTATTGGATTCTGGTGCCACAGACCATATCGTAAATGACGAGAAACTGTTCATTGATAGCATCGACCTTGATTCTCCCATTAAAATTGCTATTGCCAAGCATGGCGAATTTATTTTTGCAAAGAAACGCGGTATTGTCAGACTCGACAATGGAAACCAAATCACGCTTGAGGATGTGCTCTATTGCGAGGATGTTGCAGAAAACTTAATTTCTGTCAACCGACTGCAGGCGGCTGGAATGACCGTTACGTTTGGCAGTAAAGGTGTGAAAATATTGAAGGATGGATATGTTGTTGCTGAAAATTCAGGTATGTTCAATTCCCCAATTATTGAATTTAAAGCCTATACATCAAATGTGGAAAAGAAAAATAATGAATATCGGTTATGGCATGAGAGATTAGGTCACATTAGTAAAGGGAAATTGCTGGAAATTAAGAGAAATAATTTATTTAGTGACAATAATCTTCTAGATAACGTTAATCCAATTGATGAGATATGTGAAGCATGTTTAAATGGCAAGCAAGCCAGATTGCGTTTTGAAAAACAGAAAAATAAACAGTATATAAATAGACCCCTTTATGTAATCCATTCTGATGTATGCGGGCCAATAACACCGGTTTCAATTGACGACAAAAACTACTATGTTATTTTTGTGGATCAACACACACATTATTGTGTTACGTATTTAATGAAACATAAATCAGATGTTTTTACAATGTTTAAGGATTTTGTAGCGAAAAGTGAGGCACATTTCAACCTTAAAGTTGTAAATCTCTATATAGATAATGGTAGGGAATATCTATCCAGTGACATGCGTGAATATTGTGTACAGAAAGGTATAAGTTACCATTTGACTGTTCCATATACACCGCAATTAAACGGCGTATCAGAAAGGATGATCAGAACGATTACTGAAAAAGCTCGTAGTATGGTAAATGGTGCTAAATTAGATAAAAGTTACTGGGGTGAAGCTGTTTTGACAGCAACATATTTAATTAACAGGATTCCGACTAGGGCACTTGATGATAGTTCAAAAACTCCGTATGAGGCATGGCACAATAGAAAGCCTAGTCTAAAATATTTGAAGATATTTGGTTCAACAGTGTATGTCCATATTAAAAACAGAAAAAGAAAATTCGATGAAAAATCGTGTAAAACAGTTTTAGTTGGCTATGAACCAAATGGTTTAAAACTATGGGACATAAATAATGAAAAATTTATTGTCGCAAGAGACGTAATCGTAGACGAAACAAATATGATTAATTCTAGAGCTGTGAAAAGTAAAATGGAATTCCTTAATGAGAGTAAGGAGATTATAATACAGATATCCTGAATGAGAGTAAGGAAAATGATTTAATAAATATCCTGAATGAGAGTAAGGAGATCAATAATACAAACTTCCTGAATGAGAGTAAGGAAAGTGATAAAATAAATATCCTGAATGAGAGTAAGGAGAATTATATAGATTGTATCCTGAATGAGAGTAAGTAAAGTGATAAAATAAATATCCTGAATGAGAGTAAGGAGAATAATATAGATTGTATCCTGAATGAGAGTAAGGATTGTGATACAGTTTGTAACCTGAATGAGAGTAAGGAAAATAATAAAGTATTTATCCAGAATGACAGTATGGAGAAAAGATTTGACTCGAAACAGCCTAGTGACAGTAATGAGAGTAGAAGAAGGAAGACGAAATCGATTACAATAATTATATTTTAAATGCTTATACAATATTTAGTGATATTCCAAGTTCATTCGAAGAAATACAAAGTAGGAGTGACAAATCTTTATGGGAGGCCGCTATTAAAACTGAATTGGATGCCCATGAATTTAACAATACCTGGTCGATTGTTAGGAAGCCTGAGAATATTAACATTGTTGACAGCAAATGGGTTTTTACGTTAAAGTCTGACGAATTTGGTAATCCAAAAAGATACAAAGCTAGATTAGTGGAGCGTGGGTTCACGCAGAAATATCTTATTGATTATGAAGAAACATTTGCTCCTGTGGCTAGAATAGCAAGTTTCCGTTTCTTATTATCCATTTCAATCCAATATGATTTAAAAGTACATCACATGGATGTAAAAAGTGCATTTCTTAATGGAAAGTTAAAAGAAGAAATATTTATGAGAGTGCCCCAAGGTGTGTTATGTAGTGCTAATAGTGTATGTAAATTGAATAAAGCAATTTACGGTCTCAAACAAGCAGCAAGATGCTGGTTTGAGGTATTTGAGCAAGCACTAAAAGAGTGTGGGTTTGTAAACTCACCGGTTGACCGATGTATTTATGTTCTGGACAAGGGCGATGTGAAAAAGAATATATATTTACTTCTTTATGTGGATGATTTGGTTGTTGCCACAGCAGACATAGAAAAGATGAAATGTTTCAAATCATATTTAATTTGGAAGAAATTCGTATTTTATTGGAATAAGAATAGAAATTGGTGATGAAAAAATACTTTTAAGCCAATCTGCTTACATCAAAAAGATTTTGAATAAGTTCAAAATGATGGATTGCAAATCGGTCAGTACTCCCCTTGCAAGCAAGGTTAATTATGAATTATTAAATTCAGATGAATTTTATGATGCGCCTTGTCGGAACTTAGTCGGTTGTCTTATGTATGTAATGTTATGTACACGTCCAGACTTGGCCACTGCTGTTAACATTTTAAGTCGATATATAAATAAAAATAATGCAGAGTTATGGATATGTTTGAAAAGGATTCTTAGATATCTAAAAGGGAATATTGACATGAAATTAGAATTTAAGAAAAATTTGAGTTTTGAAAATATATTTGTTGGATACGCAGATTCTGACTGGGGAGGAAATGAAATTGACAGGAAGAGTACAACTGGGTATCTATTCAAAATGTTTAACCAAAATCTTATATGCTGGAATACAAAAAGGCAAAATTCAGTAGCTGCCTCATCGACCGAGGCAGAATACATGGCCTTTTTCGAAGCTGTAAGAGAAGCTTTATGGTTGAAATCCTTATTAGAAAGTGTTCATATTAAGTTTGTAAAACCTATAAAATTATATGAAGATAATCAGGGATGTATTAGTATAGCTAATAATCCCTCATGCCATAAAAGATCAAAACATATCGATATCAAATATCATTTTACAAAAGAGCAAATAGAAAATAATGTAATTTGTATCGAGTATGTTTCCACAGAGAACCAACTTGCTGACATTCTAACCAAGCCGTTACCTGCTCCACGCTTTATGGATTTACGCGGAAAAATGGGACTGGATGAAGGAGCCAACCTACAAGAATAATTTTGTTCTTTCTAATTTTTGCTAAATTTCTTTATATTATATAACTGTACCTGTCTAAGTCTAAGAGTGATCTGATTGGGTTTTATGGGTTTTCCCAATCCTAGCAGCAAATGCTGGATCACTGAATTGTACGTTCCCAATAGAAAAGAAAATGAGCAAGCACCAGCCACATAGAATGAGTTGAAAACATGTTATTCTTAATTTTAATTTTTTTTATTTGATTTGATTTATAATGCAATTTTTGAGGGTGCGTATTGAATATCCCTAATGTTAATTTAGTAAATACCAAAAATAGACATTATAGTATTATAAGGTTTTCACTTGCTGGTAACACTAAAAACGTAAACCACGCGGTTGACTTTTTTTCTTCCCTTTTTCTTTCTGATCTCGTGAGTGGTGGTTGTGTGCTGTGCCAAAATAAAGTAATATAATTGATAAAACTAAAACTAACTACGCATATATTATTATTTAAAAGAGGAATCCCAACAGAATCAATTAGTGAGTGAGTGAGTGAGTGAGTGAAATTGAGTTGAGTGCCAGTGAACCAACAACAACAACAACTACTACAAAAGCATCAAAAACTACTACAACATCAACAACATCATCCTCAACAACATCATCTTCACGAAAATCATCAAAAACTACTACAACATCAACAACATCATCTTTACGAAAAGCATCCAAAAAAAAAAAACAAAACCATCAATATGAATCGCACCCCGATCTATTGCCCCGTCTGTGACGTGACCCTGCCAATCAATGTGAGATGGCATCAACATCTCAGATCAGAACAACACAAAATTAAGGTTATTGAGCCGGTTGATGATCGAATCAAGCGAGTATCGGCCGGATTCGGTGGACGAATCATACATTATGTGTATGAAAATCGGGATGAGGGAATAAAAATGCCAGTAGACTTCCTACGTGAAGCTGGTGAATCATTCCTACCTCATTTAAATTCCGTTCTGCAGAGTCACACCGCTGCAAAGGTGAACTTTGAGCTCTATGCGCTCTATAAATTGATGAAAATGGATCAAGAGAAGAGCGAAATCAAATCATTTCAGTCAAAAATGACTTTTACGAGTGTATGTGGCGACTCTGATGACATATTCTCAAAACATTCAGAGACAATCGCAACGAAAATGGATGAGTTCCAGGAGAAGGATAGTGGTGGACATTAGTCCACATTATAAGGTTGGAGATGAATGTCAACCAAAATGATCCGATAAAAGGATCATCATTTATTGACTTGCCAGACAGTCTAAAGCGGAAAAAGGCAATAATAAATGTAGTCAACAGAGACGATGACCTCTGTTTTAAGTGGACATTGATTGCGGCCCTAACCAATCTGGATAATAACGCAACCCGTTGTGCCTCATACAACGTGAGGATATATGATGATGCAATAACAGTGAAAAATATAACTCTGCAGTTTGCTGGACTGGATTTCCCGCTGAACCCAAGACACATCCAAAGGTTTATGGATATAAACCCGGAAATTAGTATAACGGTGTTTGGATTCGACAACGAAAAATCACAAGTGTTTGGGCCCTTGTTTTATCCGAAGGAGGTACGCGAGCATCATATTAATATGCTACTCATAGAAAGTGACCACAGTGCTCACTATACCTGGATTAAGCGGTTATCAGCGTAAGTGAACTTTACATTTTATTACCACTGTTGTTGTTTTTGTAGTTCTTGTAGTTCATGTAGCTGTTGCTATTTTTCATTAGTATATATAACTATTTTTCATCACCCTCCACCCCGTTTATATCTCTAGGTTAATTTCATCGCAGACTGGAAGGCGCAAGGTGAAGCAATGGTTCTGCAACATTTGCTTGAATTATTCGCAGAGTGAGGAGGCATCCCTACGACACAAGGAGATATGTAGTGGGAAGGTGTCCACACTTCCTCATCCGAAGCAAGCACTGCTTAAGTTTAAAAATCAGCATCGAGCTCTTAAGGTACCGTTTGTGGTATACGGAGACTTTGAATGTCTTCTGGAGCCGACAAATGTAGCAGTAAGTGCAAACACAATAAATGTTAATACCCATATTCCAATATCCTTTTCGTATTATTTAAAATGTGCACACGATTCTAGTTTAGATGAGTTGGTTCTCAAAACCGAATATAATGCCGGTGCTAGTTTTATACAGTCTTTAATTAAAAAACTTACCAACATATACATTAATTATTTAAGCAAGGTAGTAGATATAATAATTAGTGATGAAGAAGAGATAGAGTTTGAGGAGGCAATTAGTTGCCATATATGTGGGGGTATTTTAAACACAGATAGGGTAAGAGACCATTGCCATATGACAGGCATTTTTAGAGGTGCTGCACACAATGCATGCAATTTAAAATACAAAATAGGAAATTTCATACCAGTTTTTTTCCACAATTTCTCCAGGTATGATTGTCATCTTTTTATCAAGGATCTGGCACTCATACCTGGAGAAATTAAAGTAATACGCGTCAATAAGGAACAGTACATTTCTGTATCCAAGATTATTAGAATAGATGAAGAGAGGACTCTAGAGATTCGTTTTCTAGATTCGATTCGTTTTTTACAGGCTTCCTTGGACACTCTTGCGGGTACACTAGAGGAAGCACAGCTAAAAACAGTAAGACATCATTTCAGTTCAGACAGTCAGTTCGAACTCATGCGTAGAAAGGGTGTATTTCCGTACGAGTATCTGGACTCAGTCAACAAGCTAGAGGAGACTTCTCTACCATCAAGAGATGCATTCTATAGTTCGTTGACTGAGACAGAATGCTCTGAAGAAAATTATGCCCATGCACATAGAGTTTGGAGTGAATTTTCTTGCAAAACTCTACAAGATTATTTAGAACTGTACCTGAAAACAGATGTTTTCTTACTAGCTGATGTCTTCGAAAGCTTCAGAGCGGTCGTCTCAAAAGTGCATCCTCTTGACCCTGCTCATTATTATACACTTCCTGGGTTTGCGTGGGATGCTATGTTGAGAACCACAGATGTGGAACTAGAACTTCTAACCGATTTAGATATGTATCGGTTTATGCAGTCAGGTATTCGTGGGGGTTTAACCCAATGTTCTCTCCGCCATTCACAGGCAAACAATAAATACCTGCAGACTTATGATCCAAGTAAAGAATCATCGTATTTAACATATTTGGATGCCAACAACCTTTATGGTTGGGCAATGTCTCAAAATCTCCCTTATGGAGGTTTTGAATGGTTATCTGAAAGTGAGATATCAAATATTGACTTTCAGAAAATTCAGAGTATGGATATATTCTTGAGGTAGACTTGAGCTATCCATACAAAATTCATAATGATCATAACGATCTACCGTTTTGCCCAGCTAATAAATTACCCACCGAATCAGCAAAGGTTAAAAAATTAATAGCTGATTTAGAGGATAAAGAGAATTATATTATCCACTACAATAATCTCAAACAATGCGTTGCCAATGGTCTAAAATTGACCAAAATTCATAGAAGTATGCGTTTCCTCCAAAAACCGTGGCTTAAAAAGTATATAGACCTCAACACGCTGCATAGAACGAATGCAACAAATTCCTTTGCAAAAGACCTATGGAACCTGATGAATAATGCAGTGTATGGGAAAACAATGGAGAATGTAGATAAAAGGATAGTAGTTAAATTAACTAATGAGTGGGAATCTGCATCACCAACTGATTCAGCTGGTGCTAAGCGATTATGTGCGAGATCGTTGATTGCTAAGAGTAATTTTCAGAATTGTAAAAAATTCAGTGAAAACTTTTATGCAATTCAACTGAAACAGTTGAATGTGGTGTACAACAAACCCCTATATTTACGGTTTGTTGTGCTAGAATTGTCCAAGTTGAAAATGTATGATTTCCACTATGGTTACATTAAACCTAAATTCGGGGAAAACGCTACATTAAATTATATGGATACAGATTCATTTATATATACTATAAAAACTGATGATTTTTATAGCGATATTCGTAATGATCTGCAATTCAAATTTGATACATCGGATTATTCCGATGAAGCTATTTCGAAATATAATTTTGAGAGGGTTAATAAGAAAAGGTTAGGGTTCTTTAAGGATGAGCTGAATGGAAGACCCATGCTCGAGTTTGTTGGACTCCGATCAAAAATGTATTCCTACAAAGTAGATGGAGAGGTGATACAGACTTGTAAAAAGTCTAAGGGGGTGAAATGAAGTGCTGTGGACAAGTTAGATTTCGGCTCTTATAAAAGATGTCTGCTAACAGAACAGCCAGTTAGGGGTGATATGTCGTTGATTAGGTCAGTAGGACATCATCTTACTACATCAACATGCAACAAAGTTGTACTTGATAGTAAAGATGATAAAAGATACATCGAACCAAATAAAATTGATACCTTGGCCACGGTCATCAGAAGTTGTTTGAAAAACGACTCTTGGCAGATTAGAGATATTAGTTTGAAAATTAATGCATATGATTTACAAATAGAGGATCTAGAAAAAAACCCGGGTCGGACTCGTGAACAAACCTCTGAACTAGAATCGTGTAAAAATGAAAAGGATACATCGTAGTGGATGATTGCATTCGCTAACCAGGAGTTAGAAATGCTATATGAAGACTTGAGTAAATAAATAAAAAACAAACAAAAAAAAAAACAAACAAAATAAATAAAGAAAAAAAAGTCAAAAGTCAAAATTAAAATTTTAAACAAAACCTTTTATTGATGTAAATTGAATTAAACTGTAACTTTAAATTGCATAAAAATTTTTCATTATTATTAATTCTATTATTACAATTCTATTAGTATTAACATTTTTGTTATTATATCTATAAGTTTTATTAATAAAGAATATAAGTTTTATTATTTCGAAACATTTTTATATTACACAATAAACAAAGAACAATGAAACAATGAAACAATTAAAATTTTTCAATTACTCAAATTACAAAACGCTTAAAGGTATTTTTTGTTTATAACAATTAAGGCTACCCTTAATATAAATGGCTTTATCTATTTCACCACCCACATCAACTAATGCCTCATCCGATGAATTCTCAATTTCAAGTTTAATAACTTGAATATAGTTATCAATTCCGCCTGGAATACAAAAAAAAAGAAAGAAAGAAAAGAACATATTAATAACAAATTTTGAGACTCAAAACAAACGAAAAAATGTATTTAATTTTTGCTTACCTTCTACAGCAATTACTGTGTCATCATCCACGGCTGCTTCTTCTTTACTATAAGAAAGCAGCTGTAAAAAATATAATTTTTTAACCCTCTCTCTCTCTCTCTCTCTTTCACTTTGTTACAAAACTTTAACATTGAGTTTTGATTTATAATCATTTAAACCTGACACTAGTATAAATTCTTCGGGATCTCCGTCCGACTCTTCTACTGCCTTCAAATGCTCATCAAGCAATTTTTCCGTCAATCGCTTGTTATTTAAATATGATTCATTAAGAATCTGAGCCTGATCGCTTTGAATTTCGCTAATGTATGACTCGATTTTATGATTTGAACTATTCTCCGCTTTAATGCGACTCACACTTTCATATAACATCTCCCTTAATTTCTTGTCACTAGCTCTCTCTCTCTCTTCATGGATTCAGGAGTTAAAACTTCAGCAAATTCAAAACAGTTTATTTTTAAAACTGATTTGAATTCTACACTTTTTTCATTCTCAAAATCTCTTCTCAAGATTGATCTATAATGGCACTTTATGCCGACCATTACATCATTAAATTGAAGCTTGAAATATCTATTAAACCCCCTGTGTCCTATATCCATGTGTCCCCCAATTAACTGCTCTGTTCTCACTAAATTCTCCTTAAAATTCTTTATTATTCCTCTCTTGGTCATTAATACTAATGGATTTTTATTCGAAAGTGATGTTTTTAATGTTATATTCCGCTTATAAGGACGACTTACGCTATTATCTTTTTCATCATCATCATCATACTCATCGTCAGTACCATGAATGCCGAAAAGTATTTGTTTGCTTGGTGAGGTTGAGGTTTCTGTTGCTGTTGATTCCACTTCTGGGGTGCTGGTGGTGGTGGTGGTTGTAGTTTCTGTTTCTGTTGTTGCTGCTGTTGATTCCACTTCTGGGGTTATTCTTTCTTGTTCAATTTGAGATTTGTTGGTTGACACTAGTGCACTATCACCATCCTTGTAAATTGAACTGTTTTCCAGGATATCAAATGATAGTTCCACTTTAAGACTTCTGTCCGAATTTGGTATGTTTATTATAGATTGGAGATCCTCCAACACTTTTGTAGAATTTGATACTTCACTCTCTATGATATATCTCACAGGAGCGGGTTTACACCAAACACTAACACAAAAACGGATAAAAAGAATACACGGATCGTTGGCACAATCATCTTGAACGCCTTTGACTTGCTTGAATTTCCAGCGAGAACTGAACATCAGAAACTTTTCGTTTTATTATTACGCCTCGGTTAGACATACAACATATACACTCACACATGCACAGATAAGGGCCATGTGTTGTATATTTCGGATTTTATTTTCGTAGAATAAATTAGGTAATTTCTAATCAAAACCGAAATATGTACGCACCCATATGATTGTGAAACCAAATGACCTCCATCCCTTTCATTGCCAGCCGAAATTAAACAACAGCCCACACCACCACAACCACCACCACCATAATACATGCATGCATGCGTACGCATATTTATAGAATTTCGTTTTTATGTATCCAGCTATTTTCTGTTTTTGGGAAATCTAACCAACTCACAAGAACTCTGTCCCCTTTTCGTTTTATGACCTTGTCCACTAGATATGTGTCGGGAAAACGGGTTTTTTTTATTTCTTGTTTATAAAAACCTCCCTCGATGGGACTTCCAGTTAGATCTTCAAGTAAATATGTTGCGGGAAATGTATTTTTAACTTGACGAATTCTAAAAATTTCTGTTGTCCAATTCGGTGTGTAGCCCTTTTCAAATACATGCTTATATTTACTAATGCGTACAAGGTCACCCTTACGAAATTTTCCATCTATAAATATTTTTATATGGTTGTATGCCGTCATCAAGAGATGTTTTTCATTGCTCGAATTTACATCATTTGGTTTCATTTTAATTGTTCTATGCAACCGATTGTTGTATATTTCAATTAGGTTTTTATAAATGTCAATCCACTTGTATTTACCATTGTAACTGAATTCACGCCACATCATTTCCTTTAGGTTAGGTTAGGTTAGGTTTATAGGGCTGCTCGACTGAAGTCGAGGTCACTCGGAGGCAAGTCTGCCCATTGTGATGCCCACACTCGTCACGGGATATTGTCCGGTGCCTAGGGAGGTTTCGCGAACCATCCCGAGGCCTCTATAAAGAGCACCAGTTTCTCTAGAGGCATGTTTGCCAGGCTGTCCAGATCTTCGTAGAAGGCGCCACCGAGTATTCGGTGACGTCTCCCCATGAGTGCAGGACAGTTGCAGAGAAGGTGCTGGATGCTCTCTATTTCCTCCTCGTCCCCGCAGCTGCGGCAGAAGTCATGGTGGGGCAGTCTGTACCTTGTGGCCATGCGGCCGATGACACAGTGCCCCGTTATAACTCCCGTCAGTGTTCGCACCCGAATCTTCCTGAAGCTTAGGAGAGTCTTGGTGCGTTTAAGGTCGTAGTGGGGCCAGAGCGAGCGAGAGATCTCACAGTTTGGTGTGGTGTTCCACCTCCTGTCCGATCTCGTTCTGGCTCGGCCCATCATCTGCGAGATGATGTCTCGTAGTGGTCTCCTTATGTCGCTGACTGCGTCCGCCATTGGCTTGGCCGATCCATTTCTGGCACACTCGTCCGCACTCTCGTTGCCCGCTATGTCGGTGTGACCCGGAACCCACGTGAGTGTGATTGAGTGCGCGCTGATCTGGTTTAGTGCGTCCACCGTATCACGTACGAGTCTGCTTGTGGTCTTGCAGGATACCAGGGCTTTGATGGCAGCTTGACTGTCAACGCAGATTGCTATGTTCCTCGGAGGTATCTCCAAGGTGTATACCAACTTTGCCGCTTGCCATACTGCATATATCTCCGCCTGGAATACACTGCACCAGTCTGGTAGTCTTAGGGATATGTTGGTTGCTAGTTCTTCGGAGAAGATTCCAGCTCCTGTCCCTTCGGCCGTCTTTGACCCGTCGGTGAAAATGGAGAGCTCGTTCTGCCCCAGGACAGTGTTACTCTTCCATTTCTCCCTATCCGGTATGTGTCCTTTAAAGTTTCTTTTCCATGAGAACTCTGAGACACAGTAGTCACTCCACCTGGCCGTTCCACTATCTTCCATACGGAGTATAGTGGCGTGGCCATAAGGCGATGGCTTGAAGAACTGCGCGGCTAATAGCCTAGCGG